TGTGGATGCCCCATCCCTGGAGGTGTTCAAGGCCAGGCTGGATGGGGCTTTGAGCAACCTGCTCTAGTGGGAGGTGTCCCTGCCCATGGCAGAGGGGTTGGGACTCAATGGTCTTTAAGGTCCCTTCCAACCTGAACCATATGATTAATCAATGTCAAACTATTTAAAAAAAAAAAAATAAAGTATGCAGAAAGCTTTTATTTATTTCCAATTAAGTATTAATTATTTGTGATTGATTTTTCACTTAATTTGCATAACAATGTAGGGTAATATGTATTTCAAGCCATTTGGAAGGGAATTCAATAAGAATTTAAAATCAAGAAGTTCTCTGCTGTACTTTTACATCTGTACCTGAAGTTTTGATAGTTTGGCCAGTGGAATTAATTTTAAATTCCCATGTTGTGTGCTTGTTTATTTACAGAGACCACTATAAAACAGAATATGAAAAAAAACTGCATGAAGAGTTGGAACAAATAAGATTGAAAACAAATCAAGAAATTGAGCAACTAAGAAGCACTTCAAAAGAGATGTATGAACGTGAAAACAGGTAGATAAGATGCAGACAATGACCTAATGAGGACAAAAATGACCAAGTAATGTTTTGTGCTTAGGTATAATCCTAGTTGACTGGCTGTTGAGAGGTGGTGAAATGTGAGAATTTGTAAGAATTTAAGTTCAGTTATAAAACTGATGAGAATCTTTTAAAAACTAAAATGAAATGATACATGTACAGTAAATATATGGGGCTATACTTATTATTAAATGATCAACATACAACATTTTTAATGAAATGTATTACTAAAATTCATGTTCTAGATAAACAGTGGTTTCAAGTTTGTTCAGATGTATATTGTTAGTTAATACAAAATGCATTGTCCATACAGAATGGCAGGTAAACCAATCTTGAAACTGTGCCAGGAAACCAGAAGATAAGTTGTTGATGGAGAAAGAAATGCAGAAAAAATGAAGGAAAACAAGACTTATGCCTTTCTAAAATAAATCTGTTTGAGATCGTTTACAGCTTTGTGATTAAAAAAACCATTGATTTCTTGTTAATTATTATGAAGTCCTCTTTTGAAGAAGATTTTACTCCTGCAAAGACTTGCATATTGAATTTTGTATGTGTGTCATCTTGTTGAATTCCATGGAATTAGATGCAGGGTTAGGCACATACATAGGCCTTTAGGGATCTAAGGATTTGGACTTGTGCACTGGATTTCTTTTTGAGCTTGTTTTTTGCCCCTCATATCCCTTTAAAAGGGAGGAGTGCTTAATAATTCATTATAACTTCATTGTAGGTGTCCTGAAAGTGTCTTGTGTGGAGAAGGAAATGACTGTACTAAAAAGATATTTGTGGCATCAGCATCTGTTCCTCTAATAGGTAGTTTTGTTACTGCTCAGAAGAGTGAAAAAAGAACATGACTCCTGCTGTCTGTCTTCCAGTTAACTGAAAGGTTCTAATTAAAAAAATTACATCATAGTGTAGTTTTGCAAGTGTAAAATACACACACGCATACATACATCCACACCACTTCCTGTATGCCAATCTATTTTGAATTACAAAGTATGAATTTAAACCTCCACTGTTGGTGGAGATTTGACAAGGGTCTGTATATCATTGAGAAAGCTACTGAAGGATATTTCATTTGTATCTGGAACCAATTTACAGGACTTTTGTTCCTCATTTTGAAATAATTACTCCTGAAATGTAAATCCCTTAGATTTGACTTCATATTTTGCATTAAAAGGATTTTTAGCCTAGGCTCTTTTTATGAAATACTAAAAAGCTTTAGGCAGTGGAAAAGGCAGTGCTTCTCATTCTGAGGTGCCCCTCAATGGCGAGAGAACCCCAAATTGGGAGCAAAGTGGTTTTGCAATGAAGTTGTGTGATAAGATGCTGCTTGTGACTGAAAATAAAGTTAAGATGCTGGTTTCATCTTCAGGCTCAAAGCACACAATATTATTACAGCTAAGCTAATATTCTGTTGTTCACACTCCTTACCACTTTGCCAAGCCCAATGTGCCTGATGTTTCCCTTGAATTAATAATCACTTATTTTACACTTAAATTAATCAGTTCAAGAAGCTAAAATGACGGGGTGAGGGGGAGAACCATTAAAAAGGTGATGCTTTCAGTCTTAATTTATTCAGGACCAGTTTCACTTGCTTAGTTGTAGCAAGCATTGGTTATGTTTGCCTTAGCAAGCACGGGTGAGTTCATGGGGCACGTGAATGTCTGTGTGAGGTTTGACTTTGGATTAGCTGTAATCTGTTCCCACAGGTCAAACACAATTTAGTAGTTTTGAGCATGTTTCGCGCTCTCCCTGAGCACGTCTTCGGGCTTGGTTCAGTCTGACTAGAATCCAGTTTGGGCATTCTGGAATAGTTTAGGGATGTGAACTGAAGTGCACTAAATGGCAGTTGCTAAGAGGTTTATTTGAAAAGCTAATATAGATCACAGAATCACAGAATCTTCTAGGTTGGAAGGGACCTTAAAGATCATCTTGTCCAACCGTCAACCTAACTGACAAAAATAGACCCCCGCACAACAAACAAGGAGCATCATCACTAAACCATACCTCCCAGCACTTCATCAACCCATCTTTTGAACTCCTCCAGGGATGGTGCCTCAACCACCTCCCTGGGCAGCCCATTCCAATGTCTGATAACCCTTTCAGTGAAAATTTTTTTCCTAATATCCAGCCTGAACCTCCCCTGGCATAACTTGAGGCCATTTCCTCTTGTCCTGTTGCCTGTGACTTGAGAAAAGAGACCGACCCCCACCTCTCTACACCTTCCTTTCAGGTAGTGATAGAGAGCAATAAGGGCTCCCCTCAGCCTCCTCTTCTCCAGGCTGAATAACCCCAGTTTTCTCAGCCTCTCCTCATAAGACTTATTCTCCAGACCCCTCACCAGCTTTGTCTCCCTTGTGTTTCTGTTTCCACTCCTCTGCCCTCATCCCACCTGGTTTTTTTCCACCCATACCTGTTTATGAATATGCAGTATTCCAGTCCTATTTTAGAAGGGTACTTTCACTTGTAGGATAGACTTGCTAGATTCCTGGTGGTCCATACGGCCTGTATGTGCAGCCATCAGGTAGGTGCTTTACCTCTTTTAAAATCAATCACACAATCTGAAAATTTCTCGATTGTGTTTCCCAGCTCTGTTGAAAACATTTCAACAGAAGTTACATCACATCTGTGAGTGTCATCTTGTTGTTTGAGCAGTGCCTCACTTGTGTCCTTTTCCCCTCTACTGCATTTTCAACTGATTAGCTATTCAGTTAAGCAGGATAGTTTATTCTCACTGTATGACTCCTACCATTTAATTTTTATCTCCTTTCTAACATTGCACTTCTACTCTGAGACATAATATGCTTGATCTTATTGCTGTTAACAGAATTTATTACCGTGTATTTTTATTTCGGTATGAGATGTAAAGAATCTGCTCTCAAGATCAGTCCCTGAATTTCATTGGTAAATTCTGTTGCCCAGAAACTCAATTTCTAAAGAAAATTTTGCTATCTTTCTTTCATAGTCAGTTAACTGTTAATATGATTCTGTCAGTTCTTCATAAGTGACTATTTCCTATTCATATGAATTACTTTGAGTTCAGAAAAGTATTACTTACATTTCCTTAGTCTAGAAAATAGTCTTTCATACAAAAATTGTATACATTTAGTGTGGCTAAAATGACCTAGGTTAACACTTAATGGGCTTAACAATTTTCCATTTATCTCTATATTGTGACTTTTCTCTTTTCTCCAAAATTTGCCCGAGACTGTAATTTCACTTTTCTTTAAGTCAAAAAGTTCCTGTGGGGGAAGAGGAAAGAAACAACTTCAGTGGGAAGAGCTTTTTTGCATCTACGTTAACGGTCTAGTTCAGATGAGGAGTGCAGTTTTGAAGTGAAACCCCTGGTCATTGCTGCTTGCCACGTTTTTCCTTGCCTCACTGCTTGTGCTTTGATTTGTGGTATCATGCTCACGTTTGTAGCACATGACCAGGATTCCTTTCAGATGAAATGAAATTGAAAGGAGTTTCTAAGATCATCTAATATATTCCAAATGCTGGTGGGTGTTCTGGCCACAGGAGCAAAGCAGAAGTAGCTTAAAGTAAAATCCTCGAAAATGGTCATTCTGGAGGTGTCTGGTCCTCAGCAACCACTGTTTGCTTTGCAGGTTGGCTGTTACTGTTGCATGAAATAATTGGAGGTACAGTTTATAAACACCATCTAAGCAGTATTTCCACAGTTCACTTAATTGCAGTGTTATGCTACAGGCAGACTACAGATTAACAGACTATTAATACCTATATCCTATTTTCGACACAAATACTGTGTGTATCATTTTTCATATTTTCATTTGTGTCAGTGGAAGAGGAGTGAAATAGCTTGCAAGTCTTGACTGATTCTTGGTTTAAAAAATGTGTAGATTGAGTGCAATAAAATGTGTGAATTTATAGTTCTGTGCAGATCAAAAAATATTCCAGCAATGGAAGCCAGAAAGAGACACCAATGATATGCAATAACATATATATTGAACTCACTAGCTAATTAGTTGTATCTGGAAGTAGGAATTCTATGCCTAGCTAATTTTTTCCTGCTCTATCACAAATGCTATGAATCATCTCAGGTAGGAGGACAGCATTCCCCTAATTATCGGTGAAGTACCAAGCAAAATTCCTGGAATTTTTTTAGTTCCCACAACAAATAAGTCATTTGCAGTTCTAGTATTCTAGAATTACTTATATATTTCTACGTATGAATAGGTGGTTTGATCACTGTTTTTAGAATTTCAGAATTGGAAACTTTGCTGGGATATATGAAAGTAATCTGAAATAAAGCCTCTGTAATTAATAGGCATATAGATAGACAGAACCTTCTATCCTTCTTTGAGAACTGAAGGAGGTGATATTGAAGTTAAGATCAGTTAGTAGTAATCCGTGAAGCAAAACAGTCTTTTTCCTAACATGTTCTTGACAGATTTTTTGTTTCCTTCAGAAATTTGAGAGAAGCAAGAGATAATGCTGTCGCTGAAAAAGAAAGAGCAGTTATTGCTGAAAAGGATGCTTTAAGAAAATATGATCAACTCTTAGAACAGTAAGTATCTTTTAAAATGCATATAAAAAAATGCATATAAAGGTATATTTGTATATAAGGAGTTTTATATAGGAGGAGTGACTACTTTGGCATTTTGCTTATAAAGAATAAATTGAATTACAAACATTTTGTTTAAATGACATTACAGATTTAATTCAAGTAGTAAACTTTCTCTTTTACTGGTGCAGTAACAATATGAAAGTCTGATTATTCTCCTACAATCCTGTAAAGACAAGCAAACAAAATTATGCATCTCCATTAGTTACAATGTGGATTTCATACTGGACAGTAGTAGTGGTCAAACTCTGAAGCTGTTCTCTTTTTTTTTTTTTTTTTTTCTGTAGTTGAAAGTACAAAATTATGTTGTATGATGACTTCAATTAATAGTTCTTTTTTAAAGTGTGGCTAGAGAGCAGTGGTCATGAACAGTTATGCTTGCTGCATGCTGCTTTTTGTACTGCCCTCTCTTCTCAGTGTTTGATATTCCATGTAGAAAATGTAGTATCTATACAAACATACAGTTCTATTCATATGGAGAAGGAAACTATGATTGATTTTCTGCCTGTTTACAAACAGGCTTACTCTGCTGCTCTGCAGCACCTTGTCTTCACTTTTTGTAAATTTAGAATATTAGGTACAGTAAATTATGGGGTAATTTAATACTATGGACAGTAATCAAAGCTGTTCAGGGTAAGTTTGTCATGTGTCCTTAATTTTGGACTTGGTTCATTGTTTAATCCTCACCTTTTTTTTTTTCTAAAATGAAAACGTCAGTTTATTAACCAGCTGTGCCACCTAGTCATCTACTCCCAGTACTTGATGTGAACTGTTTTTGCTTGGAATTGTTTTTAATTACAACTAGTAAACAGCTAAAATGTTAGCTTAAGCATAGGTACAATGTAATTAAAGCTTTTAATTCTTGTGTGTAACTCCAAAATTGCAGTGTTGATATTACTGAAGAAATAGCATTGCCTCAGCATAGCCACAGAGGACTGAAAAAAATGTCTGTGCTAACTGGTGGTGTGAAACACCAGGGGTAGTTCTAGAATAAACAAGATGGGTCAGAGGACTTGATATCCAGAATGGATCTCAGGGCTTCGACTGCAGATTAATTCTAGTTCAGGCTGAATGGGCCCAAGGGTACTGAATGCCTTCTAGGGGTTGGAGTGTGTTGTAGGTGTTCTTGGATTCTCAGAAAGGAATTCAGCTAGCTAGGTTGGTGCTGGTCTCTTCTCACAGGTAATTAGTGACAGAACGAGAGGGAATGGCTTCAAGCTCCAACAGGGTAGGTTTAGATTGAACATTAGGAAAGAATTTTTCACCGAAAGAGTGGTTGGGCATTGGAACAGGCTGCCCAGGGAGGTGGTGGAGTCACCATCCCTGGCTGTGTTTAAGGGCCATTTAGATACAGTGCTAAGGGACATGGTGTAGGGGAGGACTTTGTAGAGTAGGGTAGATGGTTGGACTCGATGATCCCAAGGGTCTCTTCCAACCTCAATGATTCTATGATTCTAGTGAACTCCGAGATGATGGCTTCACAATGCAAATCAAATGAAAGCAGATTAAGTGGGGACAACCAGAAAACTTGGTTAAAAAACTGAACCCCTGAGTCCAAATAAAACGCGAATGTGAGTCAACAAGGTGTTTCTGATGAGACTCCTACCTTTCACTGTGATAAGACTTACTATGACATGTGGGGAGTTCATATCTAACTGGAAACTCTTCTGGAAAGTAGAACTGGTGTATGATAATTTGAGTATGCACAATTTCTTGTTTTTAAGGAAAATTCTTACTATATTTATTTTTAAACTTAAGAAGCCTGGAGAAAATACTTTTCTATTCTGCTGTATTTTTGTTTGTATAATATGCCATTTATTTTCATATTGTTGCTTTTTTGAGGAGGGAAGTTCCCCTGCAATCAGAAACATAGGAAGAAGATTTTAAAATGCAGTCTTTAGATGTTGGGGGGTGGAGAGGAAATAAGCCATTTTCTATTATCTTGTCTGATACACTCATGGCTCTGTCCTCCTGTCGCTTTTTCTAGTGATAAGCTCTGCAATTAAGTAAAACTCTCCTTTCTTATATAAATATAAGTTAACAAGTTGATTAATACTGCTTTTTGGGGTTCAAAGAAGTAGATTGCTCCTCAGAAGATGATGCTTTTCAGACAAAAAAATAATTCTGCTTGGGAAAATGGAAAACTTATGCTTTCATTCTTTAAATGTAAGTCTCTCTTTAAAACTACTTCCCTTCTAACTGCAGTACAGGTGTCAAGACCGTGACTTCCACATTCCAGATCATCTACCTAAATGAACTGTGAGCTAACAAACTGGCATGATGAGATTTAAGTTAAGGCATTTATTCAAAGACTCCAAATTCTGAATTTACTGTGGATTGACATGTGGCAGTTCTGTGGAACAAAGACATTTTCTAATATCGCCAGAAGCCCCTGAGATAAAAGAGGAATAGCTGTGTTGTCCAATTCTATATTTAAGTGATTATAACAGCTAGTTCTACTTTAGTGAAAACAAGGTGACTCATCCTAGTTACCAGTGGTACCATAATCTGTATAAACAAACATGTTTGAAAGCTTCAAGAGTATGTGGAATGTTGACTGGCCTGAATGGTGGTTAAACAAAGCCCCTGGCAAATCTTGTGATCAGAAGTGTAACTAATATCCAATTTTCTAGTCAAGTGCAGTTATTTTCATTTTTCTTACTGATGTTTGTAATAGCTTTTTGTAAACAGCTGTTTACAAATGCCAAGAAAATACCAAAGGGATAATGGTCATGAAAGAGTTATATTAAGAAAGAATCTGCTATTTCAACCTCAAAGTAGATCACTGTGTTGTCAGGATGTAAGTTTTGTTGCTATCTTTGCTATTCTACAGCTGTAAATTCTGTGTGAGAATCCATGTTTCATTTACCTGTGACAACGAAAAAAAACTTAACTGATTTAGTATTTTGGATTAAGTTGTGGTCAGTGTCACACATGTTCTAAAAAAATTAGAAACCTGTGACAACGAAAAAAAACTTAACTGATTTGGTATTTTGGATTAAGTTGTGGTCAATGTCGCACATGTTCTAAAAAAATTAGAAACATTTTCACTCTGGTTTAAATTGCTGGTAATGTGACTAAGACCTTTTTCTAATTTTAAAGCTGTATTGCCTTAATTGAAAGTGTCTCAGGGTTGAATGAGGAGAGCAATTCTATAATCGCTCCGTCATCTGCTACGTATTAAAGTGTGAAGTGTAGAAACTAAGTATGTTCCAACTTTTCCTTCTTTTGAATATTCCTCGAGTGTTATTTTCACACTATCGATTGTTAATCGGTTACTCGCTTCTCCTTGACAAAAAAACCCCAACCTAACAAAACAGCACTGAAAAGTAGGACAAGTGCATGCTGGATTTCTGTAGTGGTTTTTTTCCTGCTGGTTAGATTTTCTAGTTTCACAGAAGGTGCAACATGAAACTGGAGTGGTTCCTTTGTTCAAAGTAGACTCCAAGGTCTAATATGGGGTAAACTCATACAAGAGCACCTCACCTTAGGGGATGCCTACAAGAGCCATCTCTTAGATTGTTCACTTCCTTTAAACCTTAAGGAGTATAATTTCTTTTTCCAGGACTGTACAACTCAGCTCTGTTAGTGGAAACTGGTTTAAGAATTACAGAATTCCTGAGAACACAAGGGAAACAGATAGATGCAGTGATTTTACTAAATCTTATTTTTCCTTAGTGACAAAAAAAAAAAATCTGCACTGTGTTACAGCTGATTGCTGCTCACATGATGTACTCAAGGTGATTTTTCTTTTCCTGTCTTTGTAATGATAAAATGAAGGGAAGCAACATAGGTATGCAGTAAACAGAAAAAGAATATTCAAGCAAATTGTGCTATGGCAATATTGTTCCTTCAACTTTGCAGTGGGCACTATCCATTAAAATACCTCAGTTTTGTAAAAACTAATGGGAGGTTTAAATTCCTGTCTGTTTCTATGAGGTAAATGGATAATTTTAAGTACATACTTTTTTTTTTCCTTACTATTTGAATATGCACGGATGATAAAAGGGCATTTTTAAACAATTTTTTGGGGGATGGATGATGGCTACAAAAAATAGTTTAGAGCCTTAGGTTTGTTCTATAAAGATCTCAAAGGATTTTTGGATTAATGTTTAAGCATTTCTAGGTTGATGTATATAGCTCAGCTATTTAAAACTATTAGATATGTAATGGATAATCTGCTACAGGTGAAGATATCTTTATAAGTATTTTTAGTGTTTCTATTTAGAAATGCCTTTCTCAAATAAAAAGCAGAATGGAATAAAAGTTATTGACATTTAATGATAACAATTGTCTGTGCTTCATAGGCCTAAAAAAGGATGCAAAAAATTCTCTGTATGTTTCTGTTTACCTATTTAACATTTTCTTCCCAGTTAGCTGTAAGCAGTGTATACATTTTGGAAACTTCTTTTAGTCTGTCCATTAATTATAATTTGAATCTCTTTTTTACTGCTATTTTCTTTGTTCTTCGTAATTGTGGTACTTTTTAGAATTCATTTGGAGGTGAGATTAATGCTATCTGGTTCTAGTCATTTATCTTAAACTTTATAGGTTATGGAGAGAGTTGATCAATCCTGTTCATAAAATGAGTGTTTAAATTAGTTGAAATTAAGAACCCTATATCTTCTTATTAATTGCAGACAAGCCTAGAGGACTATCTTAGATGAGAAGATAATTGGATAAATTTACTGAATAAATAAATGTTCTACTTTGCATTTAGATTTACTGATACATATGCAGGAATCTTATTATTAGATTAGTATTTACAACATCATACATTCATTGTTAATAGATACATTAAAATTAATAATTTGCCCTTTCTATTAGCTTGTTTTTATAATCTGGATGTTGCTGACTGCAATGACTGGATTCTAATCTTAAAATGATTAAGTCAATGTATTTGTATGCTGGACTTATTGCTAATATTTAAACAAAGACCTATT